CCTCTTCCTCTTCTTCCAACAGTTGGTGATGTTCATTTGATTTTTTTTTTCTTCTCCTGTGAGCATTTTTTTCCCTGTGCGTTTTGCAGCTAAAATCTTTACTTCTGTGTTTTGAGAGCTGTCTTTTTGTTGATTTAGACTTAAAAGGGTTTTTTTTTAAAAAAAACCACACAAATGGGTGGGTGGGAAGTAGAGGGATATGTGATCTAATCTGTTTGATTTAGTGTTTCTCAGCCCCCCCCCCTTTTGAAATGGTGGAGGGTTGTAATAAAAAGTTAGAGCGCATGTTACCAGCCCAGAATTAGATGGAAGGCAGTGCTATTTAGTAGCTCCTTCCTCTGTTCCCCACTGTTTCTATCAAGCTTTTATGAAGAAAAGCAGGCAGTTTCTTTCAGTAGCCTGCAACAGTGGAGTCGATTCTTGGTGGTGGCAAAATTGTGGGTTAAACTATTCTTGCTCCTCCCCCCCAGAACAAAATGAATTTAATATGTAGTGCTCTTTTTCCTTTTTATTCCTCCCTCAAAGGAGACTCTTTCATATTGATCAGCTGAGCCAGGTCATGAGGGGTTAGGTTTGGAACTGGAACAGGGGCATTCAGGCATTTTAGGGGAAAGGTGACTGAAATTTTGCTGAGAAGAAGCTGAGAAACCCTAAGTCAGGGAGGGTGGGAACAGAAGTTTCTTCATATTTCTTAAAAGCATTTAATTTTTTTTGATATGTACAGCAAGGAGATTTTTTCTGTCAAATAAAAAACTTATGAAATGCAAAATCTGTTGCTGAGTCATTCAGAATTTTCTTTAAGACTGGTCAAAGGAGATCTTCAATTAAATACATAGGCTTCTTACCATTACTGTTGCTTTTCCTCTGTTTAGTGCTTTTGGTTTGAAGGATGAGTGAATAGCTAGAATAAGAGTACTTAATTCCCATCTATATAGAACACATGCATGCACACATTTCTGTATTCAGTCTGCTGAAGATAGTTAACTAAATAACACAAAATAAACAAAGGTTTCCTCTATCCAGTCATGTCCAACTCAGTGCTGATTTCCGTTTCTTAGCCGAGGGAGTCTGTTGCCCGAAAATATTTCCATGGTCATGTGTCCAGCATGACTATATGCCAAAGCATAGGAATGCTGTTACCTTCCCAATGAAGTACCTATTTATCTACACGTATTTGCATACTTTTGAACTGCTAGGAGGGCAGGACCTGCAGTAAGTAATGGGAGCTTACCCCATCGAACAATGCTCAGGTCTTAAACCTGGGCTGTCAGCTTCCCAGCTGATAAGCTCAGCATCATTAATTGTTGAGCCACTGTGGTTAAACTAAATCCAAAAGTAACTTTAGTAACCAAAAGTTCTTTAAACTAAACTTTTTGAGTTAATCTTGTTGGGCAGAGTTAATAATAGTATCCAAATTATTTCCCTTTCAAATAAAAATAAGCTTTCAAGTGGACTCTGCAATATACCTTATTTGCAGCTATGGTATGTGATTAGATACACATAGAGAAATCTTATTTTTCTTTTTAAAAAATCACTGATCTTTGTGCATTTGAAAGCAAAGAGAGCAAATTCAGATTTGAAGAAACATGGCTGATCAAAACAAGATTCCTTTTTCCATCCAAGAATAAAAGGAATAAAGAAATGGCTATAATGGCTCTAGCTTTTAAAGACTATGATATTTTGTCTGTTCTCCCAGTTTAAACACAGCTTCCTGCCAGTTGTGTTTATCTTCCTTGAAGTTGACTGCCGTTAATTTTTAGTTACATAGGGCTCTGTTAAAGTTTTAGTTACATAGGGCTCTGTTAAAGCCATCCTAGTTTGCCTTTAATTCCTTAACCGAAGTATGAGCGAATATTTTAGGATTTTTCTGTGAGTTAGATCAGAGGTCACCAACCTTTCTCGGTTGGCCAACCAGAAGAAAAGGAAGGGGGCAGCATTTTATACACATGTGCGTGAACAGGACTGTGAGCATGTGTGCGATGCAAATGGTGATACTCGCCCTGCCCCGTTCTTGCGTGGCGTGGTGCCCCATTTTTGCACCCCGAAGTGCAGCATCCCATTTTTGTGCCTCACGGCATGTCCTGTCTTTGTGCCCTCCATGCTAGCGCAAGTATTTGCATACACGTGTGTGCACTGGCCAACCTTTCCCACAGCCCGATAGTCAGCAGGTCACGGCCCGGTAGTGGGCCACTGCCCCCAGGTTGAGGATCCCTGTTCTAGATGGGGAAGAGAGGAAGAAACCTAGGTATTGTTCCTACTCATCATGTCTACTAATACATGTTAAAGCGTATTCTTGCCAATATTGTTTGTTTTTGGTCTTGCTTAACAAAGGAAGATAACATCCCATGCCACGATAGTGTACAGATTGCGAACCTCCTTGTTTCATTCTCTTCATGTAGAATCACAAACTGATATAAAACTCTTGGCATGGAATTTCACATTTTATTGTTTGGTATGCTGGGGCCCAAAGTCATCTTGGATTCATGGAGCTAATTGTGTAATACTAAGATAGGAAAAATTATACCGCAACATAATAAAAATTACATGTTTTTGTCTGATTGTTGTCATTCCTTGCCCCACCCTTGTTCTATGTGCCATTACATTTCTGTTGCTAGCCTTACATATCTGCTAGGTGCTAGTGGAATTCAAAAGGCTGTTTCTCAGCATGAAAAACAACATCCTGGAATTATGTGCTTAGAAATGCTGTCACACACACACAAAAACCCCCAGGAAATAAAACAGCAGTTCCCTATCTGGTACTAGCTATGCAACTTTAGAAAATAGGTATAAAGAATGTGTTAATATATTTAGGCAAATGTTATTTTATTGGATGAATTCAGTAAAAGTACTGAAACACGTGGACACATTTTGAATGGCCTGGAATGGTAATCTTTTTGCCTTTGAGGATAGCATGAACAGTGAGTGGCAACAGGTCTGATGTGGCATTGTAAGTATTGAAGGGGCCCAGGCTCAATTTGGAAAATTTCAGAGATGGCATTGGTAAGTTGTCGTGTCACAGCTAAACCTTTCCCTCCTTTTTTGGGGGGGTGGGTGGGTGTTAAAGTAAGATTAGGAATGAGCGATCACTGTGGAACAAATGCCATTTGCACTCTTAATCCTGTAAAAAAAAGCTTTAAATTTACTTAATGGTTGAATTAGGTCAGATTTCAGTGCTTTAAAGCAAACCACTCTGATTCCCATTTGTAAATTATGAAGATGAGGGAAAACTGACCTGAAAAGCATTGTTTGTGTAGTGGTTAAGATAGCAACTGCAACAGAAGCACTTCAGCACTTCTTGTCCCATTTCAACCCTTTATTTTAAACAAAAAACAAAAGTTACATCACTATAATATAGTCATTTTTTAGCTATATTTTGGCTTGAAGGTGGAGGGGAGACCATATACAGCCCATAGACTGCCTACTGTTCGTGCCCGCTATTTGTTTCTCCTGGCCATCTTGGCATGCACAGATGGAGGATTTTAAGCTTCTTTCTAAATGCTGAGGTCATGCACCTTCATTCCTGGTAAGAAACTCAAGATTTTGATTTTAGTGAATAAGATGAACCTTGTGTTCTCCCCAAGAGTCCAGTTGCCTTCTGTATTCCTTCCTGTGTTGTAACAGCTCTTCAAAATACACAGTATGAGAAATGGTAATTAAGACATCAGAACCAGGATGGACAGTCATGGTGGGAAAGTTCTTGAATCTACGTTTCAGTTGTCCGATGAGCATTTTAATCCTTGAAAAAGATACTATCTGGAAGTGATGCCTGCACAGGATTTTAGGTAAACTGAAGTGTGTTTTAATCTTCCCGTGTGGCATGCAGACTTTAAAACACAAAGGTCAGGGTATATAAAAATAAATCGGCTGTAAATACGGTAAAATGTACTTCCCCTTTTCAGGTTGTAAAAATAACATTCCTTTTCAGGTTGTAAAAATAACATTCTTAACCTTTTCTTCACGTCTTTACTAGTAACTTTCAGTTCTTGAGGTGAGCAGTGTTTTAAATGAATAGTTTTTGCACACAAGTTTTAGAGGAAGAGCAGAATGGTTTCTGCTCTCTGACAGGGTGTTAGATATTCATACTTGCATGCATTCCAATGGTTGGATGAAACAGTAGTGTGTGTGTGTGTGTGTGCGCGCGCGCGTGCTCTTACCTTTGATGCCTGATATTTGGACAAATACCTTCAATTTTCTTGCCAACTTTTCAGAATGTAGTCCATTGCTTTCTTCCGAAGACTGAGAGCGACTGAATTGCTCAAGGTTATCCAGTTGGCTTTGTGCCTAAGCCAGTACTGGAGCACATGGTCGGTTTCCAGCCTAGTGCCTTTAACCCCTACACTAAATTGACTCTTAGGTTTGCTTTAAAAAACATACTGTTTGATTGACTGGATAAATTAACTGTATTAGGAGCAGATAAGAAGCTAAATCACTGAGGATTTTGTAAACAAGGTTCAATTTAGATTAATAGATTATTTAATATTTTTTTCTCCAATGGAACCTAACGCAACTAACTTTCTTTGTAACTAACCAGCAAACTGTGGTTGGGAACACAACAGAACTGAAATTGGAGTTTTAAAATGCTCGTGTTTGTTAAGCCCTTACCTTTGCTAACATTTGTGAACCAATTCAATATATATTTGTGTTACTATTTTATTCATTTTCATTACACTAATGGACATGAAATATTTTAGTATTGGGAAGCCCCTTCTACATACATACCTAGTTAATAGCTTATCCTGTTATTGTCATCATTTTTCACACTTCAGCCAACCTCTTCCCTAAATGGCAAAATTAATTTAGGTTTGGAGAGAACTATAATGAGTTCTAAATGTAACCAGCAAAAGAAATAAAACTTAAGGAATTTTGAATTTGGCTTTGCTCAACTAAAAATATTTTGACGCTTCAGAAACGTGGAATGTAGCTGAGGAGAGAATATGACACATGGAAGGTGAAGGAAATAGCAAAATTGCATGAAGAAAAAAGTACAAGCCAAATAACCATTTTGTTAGCTTTTCTCCTTTATTTTACTTAAACACAGAAACATACAAAATTGTCCTAAACGTAGATTGGGGAATTCTGAGTCCAAAAGCTGGGAAAGGGATGAATGCAATGGCAGTACATCAAAAGCAATCTGTACCTAAATGAAACGTTGTGCTATATAATCTGTGGACAATCAGACAATACTTACACGTTATACTGCTGCCTGTTTTCCATTCTTGATTGTGTTGTCCCTTGTTGCCTCCGTTGCTCACAGTACACTCATCCATAAAGTAGGAAACACTACACTTGGACACAAGCGTTTAGTAGTGCTTTCTACTTTATGGATGAGTCCACTGTCCATAAAATGTAGCTTTGATCTGTGACTGGCTTTCACTGTTGTCTTCATTCAGAACCACCTTCTGAGCTGTCCTACTACTACGTCTCCCCTACTCCACCGGCTGAGAGCTCCCTGGTTGCTGATAAAACAGGGAGACACTAGCAGGAGGAGAGGTTTGACAGTCTATTTTGTGGGCTAGGAGTGAGACAACATTTTTACTAGTATTAAAAGTACTCTTGGTGCCTAAATACATTCACAGCCTATATGTAGTTTCTACTGCTTCTAGCAAGAGGGTAAAATGGCAAATAAATTCAATCTTGATGGGTTCATCGCTTTACTAAATACACATGGCAAAATTGTGTAAAAAATAAGGTTCCGTATTCTCTGAGAATGGCTTAAATTTTTTTTCTATTTTTCTCTTCCATTTCCTTCTATCTGGTTATCTCTCCCCTTCCCCCCACCCCCCATTGCTCCAGCTGTAGAAAGACTAAGTAACTTATGAATTAGCTTATAAGTAAAAACATTTAGGAAAGGAAAAACTGGTGCTTCACCTTCCTCTTTTTAGATGGCAATTTCATGTGACTCCTTTGAACCAGTTCATGTGGCAAAATGCTAAGAATATATGAATATGTGCAGCCTGTACTTTTTAGTAGTGTGTTGCAAGTCCAGTGTAGACAGTCAATGCTCATTTTGCATCCCAAATTTTTTTTATACATCTCTTTCTATCTTAACTTGCTTTTCTCTGTGCAGCCCTGATTTCTTTGTGTGTAGGGGGGGGAGGTTTACCAGTTGTTTTCTTTTGCCCTTAAAAGGCACTTTTTGGATGAATGTGCTAAGGCAAAACCCAATTGTGTGAAACTGAACTAAATCCATCCTTTTCATTCCCACTCCCTCACCCTCTTTTTTAAGTGCTAAGCATATTAGTTATTTATACAAGGATTTCACTAATAATGGCAGAATTATTTTTTTAAAAAACATATCTCTCTCTTGATGTCTTCATGTCATTGGTCTTGAAGTAAGTGGTAGAATCTGGCTTACCAAGTGTATGTTTTACCAAAGAAACTCTTTTTTTCCAAATTGGTAGCCATCATTCCAGCTTACTTAACCTGCCACAATTGTTTACATTGTATGTTTAGCTCTAGAGATTACCAATTCCTCATAAGAGGTATGATAATAGAGTAGAGGTAATATGATGCATTTCAATTTTTCTGCTCGAATAGCAGTGGGAGTTGCAAGATTGTGTGGAAGTTGTAGTTCAAAACTTTGAAAGGACACAGAATTACTCTATACTGGCTTAGAGATAAATTGTTCATGCTTGAGATTTTAGCAGAATGTCTGATAATTATTGAAGAGTGGTGATGAATTGGAAAAAAATATCTGAGTGACAGCTGTTGAATGACATTTCTTTGATACTGCATTGCTCAATCCTCACCTTGAAATCTTCTTGGGCAGATTGTGGAGACAGTAGTTCAGGTTTTGGTGTAGAAAGCAAGTATTTCTGTTGGGAATTAAAAAAAGGTGAGCAATTAATTTTGAAAACCAGTATAACTTTAGCAGTCTGTAACTCCACTGCATATGAAAAAGTTGATTTCATCTTTTTTAAAAGTCAGGATTTGATTTTCAAAAGCACCCTAATTTAGTTTTACTTGACGAAAAACATTTTTTTGGGGAAAAGAAAGATCTAGCACACTAAATTCTATTTGAAATTCCTGCCTTTTCCACTCAGTTTAGAAAAACAATAAACAATCTCAGTTTCATAACATTTTGGTGGAGATAAAATGAAGAGTGATCCTTATGTAAACTGCATTAAGTTGCATGAGAATAGTGGGAAATAAATTCCAACATAAATAGATTTAGTAGAAATAACAAGTGAAATCTGAGAAAAGCAGCCATCCACACTGACCAGCTCCAGTTCTTCCTGATCTTACTGTTATCTTTAAACAATACAGCATAGTGCAAATAGCATACCTGTTTCACAGTGCCCAGTCAGACAAGTAAGACAAAACAAAGTATAGCTATTTTTCAGGGTACTATACTGTAAAACTATGCATTAACTTATTCAACAGGTAATTGTTATGGGGCAATTAAGGTAAACAGATTTAGTGTGATGTGTTACCACATGTGACTTGTAAGAGATGAATATTGTGCAGACCTATCTCACTTATGTTTTGGGTTGGGAAATGAGATATTTGACTAGAATAAAGAGCATTTCTTTAGACAGTGTTTGGTTTTTGTTCTAATTTCAAAAGTGATAGGCAATTTACCAGAATACAATTTGATTTAATTAGGCAAATATGTTGTTTTTCAATCACCATACTATATAGGATATATGATATAATGTGTTACTTTACAAAGATTAAAAAACAAAAATTAATATATCCATTGTCTCAGAGAAGATCTCATTTTGAATTTAGGTCTGATCACATTTACTTGAATATAATCTTTACAAATATCAGCTGGACTTATTTATAAATAATATCACAGTATATGGCAAGCAGAGCCATAGAAAAGCAGCACAAGAATTTATGGCTGTTGTATGCACTTGGGTTATCAGTAAACATTTTTGAAATACAGTGCAAAGAACTTGTTGGCTTGTTCATAATCCATTGGAAGAAATCCAAGTTTTTCAATCACATGGGATTAAGCCCGAATAAATGCAGTAGAACTCTTAAATAAAGAATTAAATATTCTATTAAATATTTTCCAAAATGAGTCAAAGAGCTTTACAAAGCAATTGGTTCACATATATTATTAATGTGATTTTAAAACAATGGAGATAAATTGATGAAATTTCTTCTTTCCTCTAATTTTTTCTCAAAGTATTGACATTTAAAGAATATTCTTATGTTTAATTTATCTAGAGATCCCATGTTCATCTTTCTTTTCTTCATTGTCTTTGATTTCTCCCTGCCCTTCTTCCTATTAAAGCAGCAGTTTAGAAATTTTCTTTTATAAAATAATTGTGTTGTGATTGAAAGCATTAGGGTCCTATTACTACTATATAGGATCATTCTGAACCTCAAACAAAATTAATTTTTTTTTAAAAAATAAACATTTTGAGAACACAAAACTCTTATAGATTATTTGGTATAGTGCTTCTGTCTAAAATCTTAGGAGATTTTGAGAGGAAAGCCAAAATTTTAAACAAGAATATTAAAAATCTTGGTGGTATTCTCTTTGAGTTTCGGCCATTTTGAGAAAGATACTTATTTCAGCACCCATGCTAGAGGTCACCCGCAGTAACTCTTGCAAACCATTAGTGGTCTCTGAACCACATGTTGAGAATGGTTGTGTACTAACTTAAACAATTTATCTACTTCCTTCAATGATTTTTGGCAAATGTCTTTCAACTTTGCCTTTAGAGAACTGTTATTTAGTAAAGTATCAGGCACTACAGCAGTGGGTCTCTTTCCTATAGAGTATGCTTTCACTTATGCTTCCTTCTGTCTTTGACATTGCATTTCACTGTGGTTCCAAAATGGAGGAAAAGAAATCATGCATCATGTCTTACCAGCCAGTCTTGGTCCAGAGGTAGGATTCAAGAAGGAAGATGGATTGTATCCTGAGAGAAAGAGGAGTTTTCAGATCAAGATACTGTGCAAAGGTACATGGATTTCATTACACCCAAATAACAAGGGTTTCTATACAGAAAGAAACAGACTTAGAACAAGTGAACAATGGAACAGAAGGTAAAGAATGCTTTTAAAATACCATTAACACTCTTGAGCAGGGGCGGGAAGTTGGTTTGAAAACAGTTTTGATTTTCTTTCCCAACACTAGAGGGCACGTGATTAAATTTCAAAGTTTCCTTACACAGTGCCTCAAGAAGCCAAAATGTGCCCTCACTGGCATCTCCGCCATATTTTCTCTTGTTAAGTCACAATATGACTTATGTAACTTCCCCATTTTTTGTTTCCCCTCCTAAATATGTTTAAAGGAGGATAATATGAGGAATTGTTTTCTTTTAAATCTTGAAACATTTACTTGCAATCATATAGGAATTTAATAGACTTAAGGAGAACAACCCCATTCTCTATTCCACCTGCTTTTTGTAAAAATTGAACCTTAAAGCACTCCTTCCTCTATTTTCCCTTTAGACCAGGGTCTTCAAACTTGGCCCTTTTATGACTTGTGGATTTCAACACCCAGAATTCCTCAGCCAGGCACGCTGGCTGAGGAATTCTGAGAGTTGAAGTCCATAAGTCATAAAAGGGCCAAGTTTGAAAACCCCTGCTTTAGACGATTTTGCCCCAGTTCTTGCTCAGAATTGACTTGACACGTTGGTAAGTGAGGCTCTCAAGGAGCCCATGGATCCATTGTCTCCCATGAGTCAAAGGTTCATAGCTGGGCCTAGAAGCTGGAGCAACTAGCCGTGGAGCCCCACCCTTCCCCTTAACAGCCGATAGCAATTTTGTAAAACTACCTCTTGGTTGTTTGCAATCTTTCCGGACCACCAGGGAAACCAGCTGCCAGATGAAGCAGAGAGAGAGATGGAGGCAGTGGTGGTTGTCCCATTTATAGAAGATGCCTCGTCACATCTCCCCGCCTAGTTTCTCCTCCCACTCGAGAAGATAATCACATGACTCTTGCTATCTCTCCCTTCCCTCCTAGACCCAAACCACAGGAAGTGTCAAGAGGCCTCTCTTCTCTTAAGTAGAGCAGGAAATTACATCTAGCCACCCTGATGTCTCAGAGTTTTGCCTCCACCCCTCCCCATATACCAGGGAGCTGTGGTTAAATCTATTTGTGGGGTAGCTCTCAGCTACGTGAAGCTATAAGCAAAGAGAACAGGCCAAAAGACTCTTGGTATGGCTTGGCCACCTGTATCCTTTGAAAATAGTGTAGTCCTGAAGCTGCAGCAGCTCTAAGTGAAGGTAGACTTAGCAAAGGATGTTGAAATGTGCAGTAATCAGAGACCCCCACTCAGCCATGCTGTATTTAAGTGTAGGATGGTGCAGACATGCTCTGTAGAACTGTGGAGTGGAAGCCTTTCTTCAGTGGAAGACATATCTCTTTCAAAAGAAGTTTGGTCCCTTCTCTATATCTGCAAATAGTTCTCTATTCTCACCATAGATATATCAGTACACATTTTGGAAGATCTCTGTATGTTAATGATGAAGCTTAACCAACTGTTAGTGGCTTTACAAATCTGCTCCTTATCACTTTGATTATATAGTAATTTACCTTGCATTAACATATGCCTATGAATAACCATCTGACCTATATATCTGAATTTGGGTATGGACAAATTGGACAAAATCCAATTTTTCTGGAACCATTTCTTTCCATGTGGGACCACCACACTGGATTGGATGGTCATTCCAAGGATGGTCCTGAATTAGGATTAGTGATATTTGATTTTAATTCTAGCATGCTTAAGCACTGGCCTTGGATTGAGATCAGAGTATCTGGTACTACAGAATTTGGGGGATTGATATAGAGAAACTGTCAGATGCTTATGTACTTGGGTAATCTTTTGTACTATACTCTATCTTTCTGTCTTTCCCATGCCACCTGCCAAGAACTAATCATAACTTTTGGTAATATTTTTAGATCCTTTCTTCATAGTTTCTCTTACAATGTCTATATCATTCCTAATGTGTTTTGCTTTATGTTTTCTCCAAGGTTCTTCTGGGCATATTTAGAATTTTGAGAATATGCTATTAGCAGTTTTGTCAAATGGCTTCCATGCAGAATGTGGCAAGTCATTTCATCCATGTTTACTTGAAGGCAGACTGATAAACCGTTTACTATCAGATCTTCTAGATTTCTACTGCTTGAGCTTGCTTTATTATTTTCTGGGTAATGAGACTCACTTCCAAGCAAAGCCTAGCCTTTTATTTTCTAAGAATACCTGTGTAAACCTTGAGGAACCCAGGAGCATTCTTGGAAATAAAAATAATGTCCAAGGCATAAAAATAATAGAAATGCAGTAAAATGAGGTAGACCTTGATAAGGTCCAAGAAATGTTGCCACTCCTTGCTGTAATACTGGGGATCCAGGGAATAATCAGTATTTGTCTAGATGTTTTTCTTTCCAGTCTCTGTTGAATCCAGATTGCCATTAACACTTTATGACAATTTTACAACAGGCAGATGTCAGAAGTAGATAAACAATCTTTTGAGTACCTTGTTTACCACTGCTAATTCATTGAAAGAGTCTGAAGATATCTAGGTAGAAAGTGTAGAGAATACACTAAAGATTGATTTAACAGGACGTTCATATTTTAATCCCTGAAAATTGAAATGTAAGTAGGAGCCAGAATTAAAGAATGATATTTCCCAGGGGTTTTTTTGGAAGCTAGTTGTAATTCATCATGGAGACATAGCATTAATGCATACTCTGTGTGCAGTTTGTATTATTTTATTTTCCTTTCAACTATCTCTTAAAAGAGAACTCCTAAGAGTGTAACCCAAGAGCTGCAGCCTACATCATCCTTTATGTGATCCCCAGACTCTTTGAAAGGTGGAGATCCTTCCCTTTTTTTTTTTCAAGAGTTTCTCAAAGTTTTTAAAAGGCAAAGTGGATCCTGGAGCTCCTATAGTTGCTTTAGACATCTATTTCAGACTTTAAGATGCCCAATGCCTGATATAGTTTTGAAACTGATAGACATTGAACACTCTGCCATAAAGTGATAAGTCTTACCTAAAGGGCTCATAACAAAAGAGGTGAAATTTACCAATCTCCTTAATAATCTCTTGGATGTTATAATAGCTCAGTTCCTTTTGTACCATTCCTTACATTTTTCCATGAAGCATAAAAGATAGTCAGTCTGTAACAGAGAAAGATTTTAGAAAGGTATTGCCTTAGAATCTTGAAGTCAAGCAATGGCAGAAAGATGTAAAAATAATAGCTGAGAGTAGAAGGAGTAAAACTGATGATCTGCTGAAACTCACAATCTTTATTCTGAGAAAATGTCTACACTCACATACTTTAGCACAAATGGGACTTTGTGGTTGGCTTTTTGCATTGGCGAGAAGTTTGTATGATCTTTAGATAGCTATGTTGTCCATCCAGGAGTGTTCAGAGATCTGAGGACTGATTTAGATGGGATCAAATGTTCTGTTTTCTGAACCTCCTGAACTCTATGAACAAGTTCTGGATCTGCCCTCCTACTAATATCATTGCCTTACCAATTAAAATTCCTGCAGCACTCCCACCCCCACATGCAAAAGACACAGACACATATATCATGGTTTCTCAGCTAGAAAAGATAATTCAGATTTTTCCCTCTAGTCCTCTAAACATCTTAGAGGGACACTCTATCATATTCTTTTGTTTTGCTGAATGGCCTTACTTTGGCCACAAAAACATTAGAACCCATGCTTTGGATTTACTATTAGAAATAATTGTATCAAAATTGGAATCCCGACAGATTAGACTTTTTAACATCTTAATTTGGGTAAGAGGAGAATCTTTTCTACCATTATATAGCTGTATGCAGCGTCAAGTAATTGGAAATTGGCTGATCTGCATCTCTTGATCCTTGCAGAAATGGGCCAATTACCTGACATATCACAAGCCAGCATCTTGATATGCAATGATGCTTCAGATTTCTTTAAATCTCTTGGATTCTATGCGGTACTGACCTTCATACATAATGCCAGTTTCGGGAGATAGCTTATTATCAGATTCAAAGCATTTATAGACATTAAGTAGGGCCCCTTTTCTAGGATACCAACATAAAGATTATTTTCAAAGTATTCTTGTTTCAATGAAAGGGGCAGAAATAGTTGTGGTGACCCTAGGCTTTTTTTGCCTAAACAGTTTGACCCAAAAACATTTGGAGAAAAGATGCTTATTAAACTACATAAAAGCATCTTTTGAGATTGTCTGTGGATTTGGGTAAGACTAGTTTCTATTCTCTTGGAAATTCACACAAGTAATTTCCTTTTTCTGAAAGACATTTTTTTACAATATAATATTGAACTTAAATACATTTATTATAAATACAACCCTTTACATTTTAAAAAATCTTAAAAAATTAAAAGATAAAATGGGGCAGAGAGCCTATTGGGTACCCTGGTTTTAGATGATTCATCTTCAAAACAAATTAACTTCTGTTCTTGCTCATAAAATTGGTTAAACATAGTATATGAGGGACTGACTCCTGTACACGTCTGTGTATATTATTATGGCTTATTTCAGGTATTATATTTATACGTTGCATTTTTACCTTTATATCAATCTTGGAATCTGTGTGTTTGGAGTCCATGAATTTCATAACTAAATATGCCATTGAACCCCAATTCTTCTCATCCCCATGCCAAAAACTCTGTTGTCTTCCTCTCATACTGTGGAGAAAGAGTTAAACTCCCGTTTGTTTCCACATTCCCCTCTGTTGTAAATACAGGTACCAGGGAGGGCTGGAACAGAGCAGACTAATATTCACATAAATCTGCAGTTCAGGAATTAGTCTCCCTCATACTATTCTTTAACTTGTTTTATGAGTGTGAACAGAAGTTAAATTGTATTAAATCATCTAAAGGCAGGGTAACCAACAGGCCCTCTACCTCATTGGAGGTTTTTTTTTTTTTGTTACTTTTATATATTGAAACAAGAAGGTAGCTTAGGAAAAGGTGGATGATACTAGATTGTGCAGACTTGAAGCTTTTTAGCTCTTATTTTGCTACTTTGGTGAAACCAGCATATTGTTCAGACTTCTCCCAACTTGCTAAATTAGAGTACAACTCTCCTTACCCCAAGCCAGTGCAGATACCCATATTGGCTGGAAAGCATGAAGGAATCAGTTTGAAGAAGACATAAGACTTCTTTTTTTCCCTCTCTCCTTCCCTCATCCCCAAGCAACATGACATTATTCAGTTTTCCCTTGTGGTTTCCTGAATGTACAAGAACATCTTATCTGATGAGGCAAGAGTTCTTTTTATCTGTTAAGGAAAGCAGGCAATGGTGTTTACAACTAAGATACTAGTGTCTCAACTAACGCTCTGTGAAAACTTTTTAATGATGGGAAGTTGGATGACAGTTGTCTTAGGCCTCTGCTTATGGATTTTTCAAAGGCATCCAAATAATCAGCATGGCAAGCTGAATGCTGGATAAGATGGGTCTTTGGTCTGATCTACTAGGACTCGCCATTCATTCTCAGGAGAGGCAGTTTGGGAGTTACAGACAAAATTCCTATTGTAACTTAACTTTTATTTTTTAATGATCTGGGTTCCCCCCCCCTCTTTTTGCAGAAGTAAGGTGATTTCGGAGAAAGGGAAGTTATAGTATGTGGGCAGTCTATGGAGGCATCATAGCTTTGTTGCAAGAAATATTTTATAAGAGAGAGAGAGAGAGAGAGAGAGAGAGAGAGAGAGAGAGATTAATTACTGGTATGTCAGATAATTCATCTAGATAGGTAAAAATCTTCAGTGTCACAAAATGAGAAGAGTTCTTTCTATTATCTGGATTTGTCATTTTAAAATTTTTAAGGAAGCAATGGGTAAATGCTGGGCTACTTCTGAACACAAATATGTATTCTTTATATATTACGGTTTCTTTTTAATTCAGGGATATGAATTATGAACAAGTTTAGTGTCATGTGGTTTAGAAAAATAAATTGGAAATTCTTCTTTACCTATGTATTATATCTTCTGGTTGATTTACTAATTTGGCAGTTTTCTAAAAGGAGAGAAGCTCTATTGAACATCATAATTAATTGACAACTG